GATGTTTTCAATGTATTTAGTATTGGGCGAAACCGAACCAGACGCCACCCTTAATACTTATCATTCTAGTATAATTGTTATTGTTCTATAAATGCACGTATTTTTTGTTTACGGACCACATTGTATCTGTTGTGACATACTGTAGGTTGGGAAATGAAATGTGTTTACTTTGTTAGATACGGAAAAGAGAAAAACTATATCATCGTGTGTAACAGCGTTGTATGTTGAGAAATGGTTTTATTTCATGCAAATTTTTAAAAATTAAGAGAAAATATTTTTTAATTTTTAAATTTATCCTTAGCCGAGTTCTATTAAGCATCATGAAAATCCTCAACTGCAAAAATTCAAAATAAAAGATGATCCGTAATATATTAATTTTACGGTTACTTTCGGCGCCTCGGCTGGTGAAAACACTTACCACACACACTACGAAACAGTTCAAAGTTAATTATGGCAAAAACTGTAAACAAAATTTTCCAGACATATCAAAAGCGACAAAAATCAATCTGCATTAATTAGTATCCCCTTTCATTCGCTTGTGAGTGTATTGAATGTAAATTATGGTTAGTCAATAAGCTGAGTAGTCGCTAGAACAACACGGTGACCTTTATTTTTTTAGTAAAAGCCATATGCAGAACGTATTATAGTTCACTATGTCAAAAAACTAATAATGTATAGCTAGCAATGTGACTACTGTTTTTAGATTAAATTCATATTTATGTCATATTCAATATGGAACCTTAAAAATATGGTACATCTTAAAACACTAAAAAATCTACGCGAGAAGCAGTTAACGGTAGTAAAGTTAGGCTTGGCAAACAACAAATCATACAAGCTACGTTTGCAACTTGCTACAGTTTTGTCAACCAGTATCTTTGTAAAAATTACGACCTCTGCTGAAACGTGTTCATTTTACGATGTTGGTGATTGATGGCCTATACGATTTATTATTTTCGAAGCTTGCTTGGCAAACGTACAGCTGTATCAACGACACTTAGAGTGAAGTATCAATAAATGCTGATATGACTAATATTGATCCACATTTTGTAAATAGAATTACAAATTTTGTATTTGTGACTGTGAATACTTCTGGATCTATAATACATAGTTGTTGAAATACTAGGACTTTGAAACTAAATTCTTGATACATATTTTATTGTTAACACAACTTTATCGTAACCGAAATAAAATTAACAATAATTGTTCTAAATAGAGCTAGAAGCGTTTTATGTCAGAATATAAAAGAGTCCGCCCATTTGTATTTTTATCAAAGATGTGGCAAAGTGAAATTTTAAAATGTAGTTATTACGCACTGCAAGTAATCTAATTTTGTTGGGTCCACTGACACAGTGGCAATCCTAAAAAGACAAAATATTGTTAAAAAGAACTCCTAAATAGTTGTGTTTTTATTTTAGATTTTCACAGTGAATTGACGAATGTTCTGGGACAAAAATCTGTGTTGCATTCCTTCAAGAAAATTTCGGGACGCACCGTGGAAGTGTAATAATTTGCATATACATTATTAAAATCGTATTAGCACTCAAGCAATTGGTCAAAGAACTTCCCTCGCCCCTAAAGTACAATCGAACAAACAGTTTCGAAAAATTATAAAATTTAACTTTGAAAGTTTTATTTATTTATTAATTTTTGATGACGAACTTTACGACTTCAAACGAATGTATGTGTGTTAAATTGTTAAAAGCATAGGTAAAATGCATTGTATGCATATGTTTGTAGTACATTTTTCCATACAACAAATTTAAGATTGCGTCATCAACATTTTACCAAGGACACGCGTATCAATCAATGCAATGCAATGCAATGAATAGGTGCATTGTAATCCTATTAATGACAATAGTGAATCTTCAAATTTTTGGGATAATGGAATGGGCAATAAAATAAACCGCCCCATTCATTATTTTTTGAGTAAAAATAAGCAATTCTAAAAAATATGAATGCATTGATAAGCCACAAGTATAGATTCTTAATACTGTGCATATTTTAGATTTATTGGGTAAAATTTTGAGATGACGAATCAACTTTGTTTGGGAGGAGATTAATTAATCAAGGTGGATTCATAAATCACACATGCAGGTACATCTCATTTAATAAAACATTTTTATTAAATAACATTTATTCGCTAAAATTATAAAATGACGTCATCAATTTTTAAGAGCGCCGTAAATGGATAAATCTGGATTAATGATTTACCATGCATCCGGTAACTTTAAAACGTTTGCAAAATTTTACAGTATTCGGTTTTGCAATTTCAGAATGAAATTGTAAAATGTTGTTATGAAGTTTTAATTTCTTTTCCAAAAATCTGGATGCCAAAGGTAAAAACTGAACACGGATTCATAAACTACAGGTGAAGAAGTAGGTTATTTTAAAAAATTTAAATATTATTTGCTATTGTAAAATTTGGAGATGACGTCATATCATTGTTAGTGAGGATGATCTGACAAATTTTGGTCATCTGCACGATATTCCTAATATATGTATCAAATCTGACAACAATCGGTATGGTAGTTTCAATGATTATTTGTGTAATAAAAATCGATAAAGATGGGAGCAGGCGACAGATAGAGAGACGCAAACGAGAGCCCTATTTTTTCGTACTCTAGGAGTCATGAGAAAAAATGAAATTAGCCAGTCGCCCGGTGGACTTGATTACATTACTTCCTTAGCTTACGCTCGGAAAGTAAAGTGTTCTAAACCATTATTAGAACCCTATTTTCTTTAAATTCAATGAAAAAGGAAATACGCTTTCGAAGTAATTGTGTATTTTCAATTATGAACTTTTTAAATGAAACTGTCGTAGCGACAGACCGATATCCAACAATTTCAGAATCTAAAGAAGGTTTAAAGTTCGATTTAAAAAAATACGCTGCTTTTATAATTTACAAGGTTGTGAATTAATGTTATTCTTTACTTACGCGCATGTAACGATTGTATTTATTGTACTGGAAAAAAAAACGTCATCATGTTTCAAGCTTTTAAAACTTACATTGGTTAAAATGAGCTTCCGATCAGTTATATTTACTTTTATTTCAGGAAAAAAGTAGTTATTAATTAGTTAGTTAATGAATTCACTCTACTGATGACCTTTATTGAAATTTGGTAGGTGCCAGTAAAATTGTTTTTATAATGGCAGAATTTATTAAATAAATGTCTGCTAAAAATATGTCCTGAGATACAATATTGTTTGGGTAACGTTTTTAATTTTAAGGGTGGCGTCTGGTTCGGTTTCGCCCAATACTAAATACATTGAAAACATCGTCGTAGTTTCCGGAATTGCATTTTTAAAATACTGAAATCTCCATCCAAGTCAGAATCTAACGAAACCTGCATTCTGCTACCGCATCACAGCTCGTTTAATGCCGATTTCTCGTTTCAATAGATTTTGACTTTTCGCGAGTTATTTACTTCAGTCATGGATTTTTTAATATTATAAATGGTATCAAAAGAAAGCTGACACTTTTCCCCAGGGGACCTCCTATCTCAGAATGCAAAAAACTTCAGCACTTCGTCAAAAAATGCATCAATGTGCCGGTTAAAATGTGATGTAAAAGTTGTTCAACTTTATCTTTTTTTTTTGTAAAAACTGCATACTAGATATGAATATAAATATGGAGGTCCCCTGCACTGAAGTTTGTTAATTCGAAATATAATTTTTTTAAAGCGATATATCTCATATTTTTAAAATGCAACTCCGGAAACCGCGACGATGTTTTCAATGTATTTAGTATAGGGCTAAACCGAACCACACGCCAGCCTTAAGAATTATTCATAGCCGATGTGTTAAAGGAATTAGTGAATGAAGCACTTATTTTATGAATTAAATTTACAATGACTTCTTATCTAATCTTCCCAACATTCTGGACCCACAGTAGAATTAATCCCGTCATTACAAAAAATTATTATATAAAAGTTTATTTAAAAATATCCTTGAAAGTAAGGCCTCACTGTTATTTTAGTAATGCTCTTCTAGTTTTTATAACTGCTTATAGAAGATATCCAAAAATAAAAGTTGTCTGAACCAACCATATGGTAGTAATGCATTATTAAATAAATCTTTATTTAAGAACATGTTCCAACGTACGGAATAAGACTTGCTTCAGGGGCTAAGGAAATTATGTGTCACTAACTACATATCAATTTTTTGGTTTTATGTTATTAATGAAGCACAAAATTGTAGAATGATACTACTCGTAGACATAAAGCTTTAATTAGAGCATGACTGTACACGTTTATGAAGACGGTAGTAACTGGCACTTACTACATTCGTAGGAAATAGTTCGCGACCTTTTACAATTAGTTACACAATCATCGTCTACTGTAATTGTAAAATAAGAATTACCTAAGCTTGGTTTATTAATTTTTAACTTTTTTAACTCTACGACGAAAAATGTAAATAATAAATTATGATAGCTACGACTGTAAATTTAAGATGAGTACTGTTACTTCCACTTTAATTTTTCATTGTACTCTCTCCGTGTATTCCATGTTTTTCTGAGAACAAATGATTTTTAATCTACTAAAAAAAATTCACACCAGTTTTAACCAAAACTTGGATTGCGTATGCTATGTGTCAGTTTTCATAATTCTCTACTCGTATTCACTGATGCTGATGAAACCTAAGATAAAAGAAAATCCTTTGTGGGAGAGTATGTACGCTTCAATGACTACAGCTTTTAATTATTACCTCAAAAATTCAAACAGTGGTCCATAGCTTTTCATTCTAAACATAACTTCAGGCTGCTACTGTCAGTTACATTAAGAGGCTTGGAAATCATGCAAAGTGGCTGACGAAAAAGACCAGTTTTTTACTACACGTACTTACAAACAGATAAGAAGTGTAAAACCGGCTTACAAACATCGAACTGACATTGAATTAAAGATTTTTAAAAGTCAAAATCAACTGAAAATTTCCGCACTCCTCGATATAAAATAAATGCAAAATAATAACCTTTTACACAAGTAATTGGCACTTTTCTTACCTGGTGCTGCCCACGTTGAATCTCTCCATACTTGTTCGTGATTTAGGTGATTTAATGCTAATGATTTTGCGTCTTTTGCTTCGAGACCCCATAACTTTTTTGCTGCAGGAGCAATCTAAAACAAATACGTAAAATTAATAGTATTCCAGTACTTACAACTTTAGGTACAAAACGTAGTAAAAATTAACAAAAGCAAGCAATGTTGTCAAAAGTAAACCCCGTTGGAAATGTTGCGAGTAAATTAAAACTAATGTTGCAATGAGCAACTCATTCTATAATGCAATTATTTTGTTAATATTTTTGGGGAAATAGTTATTAAGAACTATTACCCCACCTTTTCATATGAATTAGACTTGAAGAGGACAAGTCTAAAACTTTCTTAGGTCCGTGACTGTCGAATGGAAATCATACTTTTAGTAAAATGCACACGCTAATAGTAAAGTTTCTGGTCACCCTTGGCAAAAATTAATCTGACAAAAGTATAATTTAAGCTTCAAGACACTTTGACCAAGACCAATGTATAAACTCCATACTACTGTTTATTTGAACATCAGGTATTATTTGTGTATCTCAGCTAGAAACTGAATTATGGATGGACATTTCAGGTACATAATAACAAGTTAATAATAAACTGTTCGTCTACATAATTAAAGTTTGCTGGAATTTTAAAACTACGAGTTATCTTTTGGACAAATAAAAATCTATATTTTTCAAAATAGGCATTTTCTTATTTGTCTTTTAGCCTGTGTTAACATTAAAAATCAGCAAAAAAGAGACGAAAAAGCAACACAAATTTTCACGTTCATAATTCACATTTTCCTGAGAACTAGAATTGATCACTAAAAATGTACTACAAACACGTCCATTTGAACTGGAAATAAAAGTTATTATTAATTATCTAAATTTGTGTAATTAAAAACTGTGATAAAGGTAAACATGTGAATTTTTTTAAAAACTAGACTAACTCCGCTTTAAGCGTTGATAATTTTATCAAAAATTATTCGGTACCTACTACTAATACTAAATAAGTTCATTGCGATTTTATTTATGATCTTGAAAGTGAAAACACTTTGTTTAGTAAAGGAATGTCTAAAAACTTACATAAACTTGAAAATTAATGTGTAGTATGCATAAACTATGCGACATTGACATCCATATGTAATCTGGCTTACATAATGTGCTTTATTATTATTAGTTTAATCATATTTACTTGACTTCCAATGTCAATTTTAATTATATTATATTTACGATGCTTACGCATCACAAAACTAAGCATAGATCGTCCGTCACTACGAGATTTTTTTCATCTGTAATAAACCATGTCTAAAAATCAAACCAACTGTATAACAATATAAAGCAAAAACGAAAATTTAAGGGAACCAGAATACAAGTTAATAATTCATTCAATGAAAGCAAAAAAAAGATATAATCATATAGGACTAGTAAACAACCGAAATTTATTTGACAGTGTTCAAATTACAAAAAACAAAAATTGGTCGGAAGTTATTTCAACAGAACTTCCCTCGCCCCTAAAGTACAATTAAACATATGCAGCATCTTCGAAAAATTATAAAATCTGATTTTGCGAATTATAAAAATTGACAAAAATTGGTCCGGTATTTTCGGAGATTATTTGTCTAACAAAAATTGACGCAGACGGCGCGACGGACAGAGACGGACGGACGAACGGAAACGAGAGATCCATTTTTTCTGACTCTAGAGGTCATGACTCATCAACAAAATATGAAAGCAGCTTACGCTCAGAAAGTAAAAAAAGAAGGGAACAACCCAACAAGCCGCATTTTATCGACTTATTTTCAGGTTATTAGACTAGGGCCCGGTTTACAGAAGCTCAATTAAATATTTAATTGCGATTAAACTTTCAAAACGGCGTAAAAGTACCACGTGACCGACGCTCAGATGACGATATACGCTTCAATAAATGCGTGATTAACTTAAGCTCAGTTAAAATATTGCATAAACTAGTGGCCCTAACCGACTTACTTTGTATATTTCAATAATCATGAAAATCAATGGATGAAATCTCCGTTATCTGCAATAAAAAACGTCCATTCTGGCAACTGATACTGGCCGAAATACGCGACCCCTAATTCACAAGGGGGATAAATTTACAATTTATATAGCGCAACAGATCCGTCATTTTAAGAACGTTAACGGAATAATAAAGCTTTATCGTTTTTTACAAGAAAATTATTCTAGTGAATAATTCTAAAAACTTGAACAAAAACTCCTTCCAGAGGCGCAACAAATCTTTGCAAATTTAGGGTTGTTTATTCCGGCCGGTAAGTATTGCCAGAATGAGACTATTCCTTATTCTATAGGTAATTCTTTTGATGCTGTAAAACGGTATGTTTCTCGTTCGGTCTTCTTCCGCCCTTAAAATAGTAAGAAGTGTGGGCTTTCCTTATCTGCGTCAAAATTGCGTGTAGGACAAAGACAGGAACATTAGATGTCTTAATTGGTACAGTTTTACAACACTTTCTCCACTGATTTTCGTGACTACTAAACTACACAAAGTAAATTTGTTATATACAAATATTCATTACTCACATTTTATTGTCGCCTGTGCAATAAGCCTATTCTGTTTTTATTAGTACTAGTACTAAATAAATACTAGTATGACTAAGGAAGATCATCATTTTTTTATTGTATATAAATTTAAATAATTAGTTCCATAACTGCGGAACAAAGTTAGCAATCGTTAGTGTGGTTAGTTAGTGAACATAAACAGGAAAAACAAAAAATACAAATAATCCATATATTAAACAAAAATAATGTATAACACCTAATACCGTGCTACTAACAAGATTGCTCTTTGGATATTGATCTAGCTTTTTTCTTTTTTCATTCCCGATAACTTGCTTGTCCAACAGCAACTCAAGTATATTTTTTGTTTACCGCATCTTACTATAACATATCACAAAAATACTAGAGCAGGTCAACTCGTTTTTTCGTTTTGCTATTTCTGGCAGTGTTCCATTCGTTTACAAACTTTTTATTATTATTTATTACCATTACATATTTAAGTGGTATTTAAACACTTTCAAATCAAAATACATTCACTGTTAATATTTTGAAATATATTCTTGAAAGGTAGAAAATATTACGGAAGTCAGAAATAGTTAAAGTATCTGAATAATGTCATCTTTGTCAGATTCTTTTTAATAACTAAATAATTTCCTGATATTAAAAAAAAACCTGTTTGGTTTTTGCGCTAATAAATTTTTCTAAAACCATTTTTCCATTACGTAAAATTAAAGCATTTGAAAAGCTATAAAGTAAAAATAAGATAAAGATTTGTAAATGCTAAAAAAATACAACAAAACAATATCGTAATTAAGTAAGTCACATTTCCGATCAGCAATAATAATTCTGGTTAGCGTATAATACAGTCTATAACTTGACTTCCGCCAAATCTATAACATAATCAGTAAGTTTGGAGGATTTTATTACACTTGAACATATTGTAACTTTAAATTTAATGTGCGTATGTCACACGCAATACACACGGAAGAATACAATTTAGCTCATATTTTTTACAAACACTTGATCCAAATAACAACATTTATACAAGTGCTCGACTATGTAGTAATATAACGAAGAGTACATCAATTAATTTTACGAAAGCTTGCCGTAATTTACGTGAAACGCAATCTGGGAAACACTGCTTATATTATGAGTAACAATACTCAAGTTATTTAAGTAACCCCAAAGCAGCAATCCTATTGGATATGACTGAAGTTCACATCCACCTGCCAACTATAGCAAGAAAATACCAGTTTAGAATTCTCTAGTATAGGAGCCATTTTTAACTGAAAATGACACATCGAATGTACGAGTATTTTGCATTTGCAATTTTTCTCCTTCAATTTAAAATTAATCTCATCTTTGCTTCAAAATGAAAATCTCACATAAATTTCAGGATCAGTATTGGGATCGTTCCGCGGATGGAGCGCCATTTAAAACTAGTAATATGTTCACGCTATAATTCAAAATCTAAATGAGGCACGAAGATAATAATCAAAAGCAGAAAAAACACTACAAAATTTATTGATTCCGAAAAAAAAAAACACGAAACGAACAATGTCATGTTAAAATGAAGCAAATAATAAAATGCTCTTTATTCAGATTAACTTTCTAATTTTAATCAAAATTTTGAAACACCAACAATAGAATATTCGAAATCTATATTTTGAAAATGTTACACTTCGACCAATAGTATGAGATTGCAGTAATTTTATAACACCCTTTCATAAATCTAGCAGTAGGTAACTGATAACTTCAAGTTTTGTTTTTTGATTTTTTTTTTATTTTATTAACGTTAACCGTACGCACGTTTACAAAAACGTCACCATAGTGACTCATGTAAATAGCTTATTGTAGGAAATGAAGCCATTAATTTACTGTTTAAGATATTTTTTGCATTCTGTTGTTGCTTTTACGCAAAAAGATCTTACGTTTACGTTACGTTCATGTCACTCTGATTTAAGGCAAATTGTCAAAATGAAAACATGTAGTCCTTACAAATAGGAGTAACAGACCTAGCTTTTAAAGCCACCACAGAACTACCATAAAAGTATAAACTTTTGTCAAATAATGTTTATTATCCTTCTGTTTATGAATAAACACTTACACAGCAGCGGGATGAAGATGAATCTAGCGAAGAGCCATTGAAAATCTAACCAGACCAGGTAGAAAAGACCGGGGAATTATTTTATTATTATTAATTAATTATTATAATGTTTTGTGTTTGTGTATAGTAGTCCCAGAGTGACTTCCTTTGTATGGTCTGCAAACTCTACCGCAAGCCCGATTCGCTTTAATTCGCTGAGAACTTAACCCTTCCACAATAGGATACAGTCGTAGTCACTCTGGGACTACTATACAACTATCAATTTAAACTATTTGTTTCTTATAAACACAATTAAGATTGACCAATATTCATTCTTTTTTTTTTTAATAAGAACATATATATCAAATGAAGCAGAGTTCAGTAATGGTCAAATGTAGTTGGCCCAGAGTAAGTTTGTTTTTAGCACTGCATACAATTGTGGAGGAGTTAATTCCTTCACAATAGCCCAATTTTTGTCCACA